TATTGAAAAGCAAGAAATTAGCTACAAAAAGATTTAGCTACATTAAGAAAAAAGGACAGACGTCTCAAAAAAAGTAACTCAAAGCAAAATCCACCAGATGATGTCAAGTACTCGCAAAGATATTTGGTTTCTAGCTTAGCTTAGAAACCAAATATCTTTTATAAATTAGCTTCATTGTCTCAAAAAATTACAAAAATCTGTTAAGTAGTTTCCGCGTAATTAACAACTAAAGGGTACTGAATTTCAACGTGTTCAACCGATATATATATACATATATATATATATATATATATATATATATATATATATATATATATATATATATATATATATATATATATATATATATAAATGATTAAATGTGAAATGATTAAACCAATTACCTTTGAAAAAATTGACATAGCTCTACACACATCAAGAAGATAGATTGCCACAGACATAAAGTGTTGATTATGTAACTATTTTTGAAAAATTTAGCCTTTGATCTCTGCGCTGTGCTATATTCGCTTTCCAAAATAATGGTATTAACCAATGTGCTTTGAGACCATTAAAAATATTTTCGAATGCATTTACCATATGTGCAACCCATCTAGTTTTGTTAACTTGTATGACGCTGCACTTGCCTAAATAAATAAAACCAGAAAAAATACTTAACTAACCAATTGTCTAATATTGACTAAATTGTGGCATTAATAAAAATTTTAATTGCAATTTACAGAAATAAATTACTTAATACTTAAATATTAAAATACCTTTTAAAAATATTAAAATACCTTCTACAAAATAAACATGTGCTATGATAAACAGCAGACACAAGGGTAGAATTTCTATGAAAAACAAAGAGTGGCTTGCAAAATAGTTCTAAAAATTCAGAGTTCCTTCAACATTTTGGCAGCATCTTTAATGCATGCTGTATTTGATGCAACAAAAAATGTGTTGAAGTAAAAAAATTGTTGCAGAAATTTTTAACTTGTTCTTGAACACTTTACCTAATTGGAACATTTGTGTTGTCTGTAATTATGCCTACCATAAGTGGTGCATTTTCTCCTTGTACTATTGATTATTTTGGTCATCCAGTTCATCTTCACTTACGAAACCTTCAAAATCGCATTTGTCGATATTGATTTTATTATCACTAAATAGATTGTATATTTCATCTTAGATATAGACTAATTCTTTGCCATCAGATTTCTCCTTGTTTTACTTTACTTTTTTAAAAAGTTTTAATATTAAGGCTGTCAATTGAATTGTGTTAGGTTGAGATACACTGCCTATTCCCAGAAATCTAAAAATTATTTTTGATTAAATGATTTGCACAGGTAACCTTTATTCCAACTAGAAATATCAGTTAATCTACAATAATGCTAAATAATTTACCTAAGAAAAAATGCTTCATGAATTGATTAAAAAAAACCTCTGCTACTGATTTTCCAAAATCTATGCTTTCTTGTCTACTGTTATAAGTTTTTCTGATATTGACACCTTTTGTTTTATTCTACCTTACTAAAAACTTGTAATGCATAATTCAGAACATAAATTGCAAATGTATTTTTGAATTTCTGATAAAGTAGTTTTAACCCTTTGAGCGTAGTTTTAACCCTTTTTGATAATGTTTCTCCTAGCATACAATACAAATCATAACATCCTGCATTTCATAGTTTGTCTTTTTTTTAAAGGGTTTTTTAGGTTTTTCATTTTGTTATTTCAGAGCCTCCTCTGTATAAATCTGAATTTTTTTAATATATAAAAACCAAGAATATTCATTTAATCATAATGGTTAAAGTGTTCGCATTTTTTTGCATTGTTTGTACCGGCTGCAGTTGTTTATACTCAAAGTTGATAATCTACTTTGTCTTTTTTATCATTGAGGTGACAATTGTTGCTGCTTTCTTTTTGTAATACTAGTATTTTAGAGATTTTGTTTGCATTTGGATCAGTCATAAGTCAGAAGTCATACTATATAAAGTCATACTAAGCAAATAAAATCATTTGTATATGATGTTGTAAATGATCAGTATATGTTGTTATAGACTTTAGACTTAAGATTTAGTAATTAACGGAAAGACACTATTTGCTTTTTGAAATTGTTTTTAAATACATTGAAGTATTTATTTCACAAATTTATTTATATATTTTTTTTCATAAATCTTATAAAATATTTGTAAAAAAGTAAAATAGTATTTGAAAGTTTAAACCACTAAATGCAGGTTAAAATAAAACACTAAATGCAGGTTAAAATAAAACACTAAATGCAGACATAATTTTTTCTAATTAACATTTTACTTGTTCTAATGAATATTAGAAAAAATAAATTGTTGTTTTTCTAATAAATATTAGAAAAAAATGCTAAACAAAGAAACTGAAACTTTTGTTTTGTTTGCTTTAGATTGTTAAGAAATAAATATTAAAAACTATTTTACTGATAAAAATGAATTGCCTTTTCAAAACAATAGAAAGAATTTATTTTTGCAGGTAACAATGTTAGTTCTAATAGAACACTTTTAGGTATATAAAAAAAAATCAAATAAATGCAATTGAGTCACTTTGGGCAACTCAATTGCATTAAAATAATATTCATAATTGTCCTTCAAGCCATTGGGTGATGATGTCTGTACAATATTGTGTGTGTGAGTGTGTATATATATATATATATATATATATATATATATATATATATATATATATATACATATATATATATACATATATATATATACATATATATATATATATATAAAATTATCTTCGCTTCCAACAAGGCTGCAAGCAACCACTAATTAGTGTTGGAAGTTACTGGAAGAGGAAAGATGAAGATTGTAGAGCAAGATAACGATTGACAGACGACTTAAAAGATTGCAAATTATATGAATCAGAAAAGCAAGATGAAGGAAGCGAATTCCAAAGAACTGATGTTCGAGGAAAAAAACTAGACGAATAAGAGTTTTTGGAGCACTTAGGAACAGTAACAGAAAAAGGATGAGACTTAATTGAATGACGAGTAACACGAGAATGAATTTTAGTAGATGGCACAAGAGACGCTAGCTCTTTCGAGCAGTACCCATTATAGTATTTGCAGAAAAGAGAAAGAGAAGCAACATTACAACGATGTGACAGAGGTTGAAGGTTGGCTGCAAGAGCAGGTCCAACTATGTTTACAATACGTTTTTGCACCTTGTCTAAAAGAGAAAAAGCATCATTAGAAGATCCGCCCCAGATGTGGCAACAGTATTCCATACAAGGCCAGATTTGAGATTTATAGATATAGAGAATAGAATCCAGAGTAAGAAAGTGACGAGCTCGATAAAGAGATGCAACTTTAGCAGATGCTAATTTTGCAACGGATTTGATATAAGGTTTCCAAGAAAGATCAGAAGTAAGAGTTAATCCTAGAAGATGAAGGGTAGGAGACTCATCGAGTACATTACCATTTATAAATATAGGAAAGTCTAAACTATTGCGATAACGATTGCCCGAAAAAAATTGAGTTTTATCTGAATTGAAGTTCACCAGCCACTGTGAGCCCCATGCTGTAGCAGAAGTGAGATCCTTTTCAAGCTCAGATGCCCCCTGCAAGCAATCAGAGGGATATATATATATATATATATATATATATATATATATATATATATATATATATATATATATATATATATATATATATATATATATATATATATATATATATATATATATATATATATATATATATATATATATATATATACACAATGGATAAAAATATATATTTTGTATACATTGCATATACAAAATACAAAGAAATTATTAAAATATAAAAATAAATATATTGGACTTGACAGCATAAAAAAGCTTACTAACTAAAAAGTTAGTAAGCTTTTTTATGCTATCAAGTCCAATATATTTTTTATCAATTTTTAAAAAAAAAAATTACATAGACACACACACACACTCACACACACACACACACACACAAAAAGTAAGGCTAAAAGTAAGGATTTTAAGGAGATTTAAGAAGATATTTTTTAATTTATTTAATTTAAGAAGATAATTTTTAAGGAGATTTGGTCATGAACAAATTTTTGAAAGAAAAAGGAAGGAGAATTCAGGAGAAAACAGTTACATTAAAAACAGAATCTTACTTTTTTCAATAAACTATTATAAATTAATATATTACTTTACATATATATAAGTATAAATATATATATATATAATAGAAATATAGTTTTGCGAACTATCAAAGAACTATATATTTTCTTTTTTATTAAAAAGTATAATCCATTCACTTTAATAGAATTTCATAGATGTTTAAAACAATAAAATAAATAAGGAGAAATAAAAGAGAACAGTCAAATTTTAACTTTTTCAAGGAAAATTTATTTTTAAAGGATATTTATGGTTTTTAAGGAGTGGGAACCCTGATATAAAACTATCAAAACTAGTTTGCCGACCTCAACTTTTTAGAGAACGTAATTTGCAGACCTCAATTTTTTAGGGGTCGGTATCAGGTTGGCAAAAAAAATTTGATACAAAGGTCTAACCATAAAACATAGGAACGAGATTTTTTGCCAGCCTCAAACAATTTTAGGTTGGCATTGCCAAATGCTGACTCTAATTTCTAAGGGCTGATACATATATATATATATATATATATATATATATATATATATATATATATATATATATATATATATATATATATATATACATATATATATATATATACATATATATATATATATATATACATATATATATATATATACATATATATATACATATATATATATATATATATATATATATATATATATATATATATATATATATATATATATATATATATATATATACACATATATATATATATATATACATATATATATACATATATATATATATATATATATATATATATATATATATATATATATATATATATATATATATATATATATATATATATATATATATATATATATATATATATATACACTAAAAGATATACTAAATCTAATAAATACCATCTGGATTATTTGCAGTTGTTAGCAGTATAGTAAGTGACATGATTGCTGCACCAAGATCAAAAAAATAGGCTTTTCCTTCATTTCTGTTATTTAACATATCCAGTGAATCTTTATTACTCTAAAATATATATATATATATATATATATATATATATATATATATATATATATATATATATATATATATATATATATATATAACACAAATTAAAAATAACAACACAAAGTATTTCTGTAAAACACTTTTGAATATACATATATTAGGGTTGTTGTTTTTTTTATATGATTTTTTTTTTAATTTAAAATTATGCTCCCTCTTTTTTGGTGAGGTTTGATAAAAAAGTATATGGCGAAAATTTTTTCGCAAACTGATAATTGGAAGTGGTATCCTAAACCCTATTTCGGAACCCTAAATTTACCAAAATTTGTCTAAAAAAGCTCTATGTTTATTTCAAGCAAAATGCTGCAATAAATTGTTTAACATTACATTCAAAAGGAAATAATATAAAGTATTGTAATATTACAACATATATAGTTCACAGAAGAATTATTTATGTTGTAACATTACAATACACATTAGAGTGCAAGCAAATTTAGATTTACCCCATTCCTACTATTACCTAAATCTAGATTTCATTATTGAAAAGTATTTTACTTGCAATAATTTGTTAAAAACTTTTCTTATTAAAATATTGCTAATATATTAGAAATTAAATTTAATAAATTTAATAATAGCGATGGCATGGTTGGTCTTAGAGGGCGGACTGGGGTTGGAAAGGGTGTGTTGGTGGGTGGGTAGTTTACATCATCTAAGATTTTTTATTTCTTTATTTTGACCACTAATTTTATATTTAATATAATTAAAAATTACTTAAGAAGATGGCTGCTTTAGACTTATCGTATGCTGGTAAAGCAACATGCTTAACTATATTTGGGTTGTCAAAAATATTCTTTTAACAATAGATGGGCTGTGTCAGTTGGCAACAAGTGATGTTGCCTTAAGTTGAATTTTTTATGAAATGATAATCAAAATATTAACTATTTCAATATCCTGCAAAACAGTTGTAGGCGAAGGTATGATTTTAAGGCTCAAGGCTAATATTCGAACTATAGCAAAGCCTTATCTAGTATCTAAATGAAAGAGTATTCAAGAGCAGCATTTTCAAGTGTCTAAACACAGAAGTAGAAAATCTGCTACTCAAGATAGCTTTGAAGAGAAACCACCAAGATTTTTTGATATTACCCTTGGTGAATGGGATTGTTGCATCAAGACAAATGAAGATAAAATGTTCCTGAAAGACCAGCAAGGTTCCTGATAGACCAGTAAGATCTCCGAAAGATATCAAAGACATCAGAAGACTTAACATATAAGCGAACGGTTGTTAAGCACAGAAAACGCAAGCTTGAAGAAGAAAAAAAAAGTTTTATCTACAGAACCATAAATGGATTACAATTCATATTATTCTTTGGATGAAAATTCTGACTGTGACATTTCAATTAAAATGCAAAAAACCCTTGTCTAAAACTTTTACAACATTCTACTTTAAGCATTAGTCAACTATCAATTACAGTAATCAAACTGTATTTTTGACAATCAACCCATCAATGCAGCATTAGACAGAACAAAATGAACATCATAACAATCAATGACAATTGTCACACCAGTCCTAGCTGCAAATAGTACTAATGTAGATAAACTAACATTTTTATGTACTACTTTAATAGCACTTTCGAAGCTTGAACTATGTCCTGCAAATCTCAATAGCAGTTAAAAAAGATTTTCAACCATTGGTTCTATTAGTTACTCATTTTGATGGCAAGGTATTGGTATATGTTGATGGAACCAGTCATGAATGTCTGCCAATTGTTATATCCCAGTGAAAGCTAATAGAAAAAAAAAAAAAAAAAAAAAAAAAAAAAAAAAAAAAAAAAAAAAAAAAAGGAATAGATTTCTGGGAAAAGGTGCTATATATTTATATACTTGTCTTCACACTAATAAGCAAAACTGATGCATATAATACTGACAATAGTTGATTTTAATAGATTTCAGAAATACATCATTTTAGACAAAATGGGGCTCTAAAGGGCTTACAAAGTAGGTCTGGGGGACCACTTCCTATCATCAGTTTGTAAACAAAATTTGTGTACTTTTTTTATTGAACCTCATCAAATAAGAGGTTGTGTGATATCAAATTCAAAGAAATAAATTTTTAAGCCACCATTGAATGCTGTTTATTTTTAATGAAATCAGACAGCCTAAACAAAGCATGAAAAATTTGTGACAATTATATTCACTGGCACTGCGCAAAATGACAAAAATGGACTATATACTAAAAATTTATAAACTTTGAGATCAAGCAAAAATGGTTAAAAGGCTAACAAGTTTTAAATTCACAAAAGTATTGTGCTACAAAACTAGACCAGTTATAAAAACAAAAATCTATTATCCATTTTATATTTTTACCTTTTTCATGACTTTTAAAACAAACGTAATTAACTTACTGATGAATTAACTGAATGTATGACAGCTTGTTTGCTAAAATCTTCTGGTGCAAATAATACCATACCAAACATAGTAAAAAAATACAAGTGTAGTGCCAGCAAAAATAACACACTAAAAAATTTAATAAATCAATAATAATTGATAAACTTAAGACTACATTTTATTTTTTAATAAAAAAAAAAAAATTAAACTCTCTTTTTTTACAAATATCATTATAAAATATCATGATAAAAAAAATTTTAAATGTACCTTAGGATCAGGTTTGGTCGGGGAAGCGGGTTCAATTGCACTCGATAATTGACCACGGAAAAAATATTTAGTTGTGAAAAACCAGCCAGATTTTTTAGTTGTTTTGAGAACATTTCCAAAAACAAACAAAAAAGCGCAATAAAATTAACTGGACCAATGAGAGACAATTAAAAAAAGAAAAATAACTTTTAACGCAAAAAAACATTAAGCAAAATAAATACGTTTAGAGCAAATATTTTTGAAACGTCGCTTTTATAATTTTTTTATAAAACCAAGCGACATTTTTTATACAAAGCAACAACTCACCATTAATGATTGCTTAATAAGGAAACAAATGTTTTTCGATTTATCAAAGAGTATTTATAATTTTTATTTATATACTTATGTCTTATTTCCAGTGCTGGATTGAGGAGGTGGAGGAGGGGGTAGAAGAGCTATAGCCCCAAAACTCACAAGGTTTGGGACAACGAAATAGTCAAGAGGACCATTCAGTATTCTTTTTAGTCATTTTTATGCTGTGGCGCATAAAAAAGGCCACCAAAATAAAACAGTCCCCGGCCCTGAAAAGCCCAACAAGTTTCAACCAAAAAAACTAATGCTAGATGATTTATTTATAAATAAAAAAGTTTTTTCAATAACTGTTTTATGCTTCGCATAACTTTGTGAAACAATATTGTCTAATGTTGGATATAGCTCATTAACTTGTTGTTTAGCTCTCTCCTTATGTGATGCGTCATTGCTGTTTACATGGTGCTTATGCTTCTGCACAGCAAAAGTTTAAAGCAAGTTGCTTAATATATATTTATGTATGTAAGTATATACATATTTGTGTTCTGTCGTGATCTCTGGCGCGGGGCTTGTTTAAAATATTTCAACAGAATACTCAAGAACATTCGGTAAGTATTTTTTGAATACTCTAGAAATTTCGGTTAGTATTTTTTGAACTAATAGAATTAGTTTGTTTGAAAATTTGGCAGGTTTTTTGTGTTTGTGAATGTTCTTTTTTTATTTTTCCACACAAAGATGTTTAAGAACATTAAAGTTTATGTATATATTTCCATGAATGTCCGTAAAAATTTTTTTTTTAAATTCACTATAAAATAATGAACTCAATAACTTTATTATAATTTTGTGGACAAACATGGAAACACATAAACTTGTATGTTCTCAAAATGACTAAAAAATCTGGCCGGTTCTTCGCAACTAAATATTATTTTCGTGGTCAATTATCAAGTGCAATCACACCCGCTTCTTGACCAAGCCCATAGGATGTAAGAAACTTACCTTAGGATGTGAGAAATTAAAAATTTACCTTAAGATGTGAGGAATTGATCTTTTTATACTATTAACCTAAAACCAGCCAAAAAATTAAATATTTCTAATTAGTATTTTTAAAGATGAAAGATTATTTTAAAAAGTTTATTTTGCTTACTGTTTTTTTCATTAATGAAGAATTTTGTATTAGAAAGAATGGTCTCAGGAGTCGTCGAATTCTCCATTTCTTAAAAATGTAAAAAAAAAAATTGGAATAAAATTATAAAAAGATAATAAAGTAAAAAAAGTTAGGAATAAAATAATAATAAAATATATATACATATAAAAAAACAACTACCTCATTGCATATATGTCCTAATGAAACAAACCAGTCAACATAAGAAAATATTAACACAAGTCCAAATGCAATTAGCCAGTAATTGCTCTTTGCGTGCCTTTTTCCAATTATGACAAACTTAAAACACATTTTTCTTTTGTATTTTTCTGATAAATTTTTGTAAATTATACTCAAAACTCAATCATCTTAAGGTTAATCAAATAATAAGAATTTTTATAATTACATTTTATATGAAATTACCTTACTTATGAAGCTAATTGACATAATAATAAAGCAAATCAACTCTATTGATTCTATGAAATTACCTTGCTTATAAAACTAATTGTCATAATAATAAAGCAAATCAACTCTATTGTTTCTGTGATGCCACAAGGAAAAGTATATCTGTTACCTCGCTTTCTAGGATCTGAAGACCAACTAGAAAAAGTATAATAAAACTGTTAAATCGTCAAATTAAAAAAAAATTTAAACTTATTTCTCCACAAAATCCGCTTTGTTTAACAAAGTTTGTGTTTTGAAGTTTAGACTTCAAACGAGTAAAAGAAAATTAAAAATTAAAAAAAAAAAATGATCTTAACTGTACTAGCTTTGGAGACGCAAATTTTAAAAACAAAAATAATTAAAAAAAAAAAAGAATTCTAATAAACTAACGCTACTTACGTTAAAGAAGACGGCGTCTCAAAAAATGGCAATAATAGAAGTAAAGTTATTGTAAATCGAAACAACCTTTTAAAATAAAATTCAAGTCTATTAAAATAATAAACATTATTGAATTCTTTGTAAAATAAATAAAAACAATCCAAAACTTCTTTTATAATAAAAGTTTAACAAAACAATTCAAAACTTCTTTTATAATAAATGTATAACAAAATAACTAAATAAAAACAATTCAAAACTTCTTTTATAATAAAACAGAGAATGATCAGAGTTGATCAAATGATCAAAATACAAAATTCTTGATCGTAAAAAAGCACTCATTAATCTAAAAATTTAATTTAGTTTTTAAAATAAAGCGTTGCATAATTAAAATAAAATAAAAAAAACAATTTATGGAGCTTGACATTTCATATCCTAAGCTCTGTTATTCTGAGTTTACTAAATCTTGTTTCTTATCCCAGATGTTAGATTCTTGAGACTTTTGGTAAGTCTTCAACAGATTCATTAACTAAAGTAAGTCTAATATTTAATCTCTAATTTATGGGTTTGATCTTTTTACTTCTCCACAGAATAAATTTTTTGCAAGGAAATCTTACTCTAATTTAACTCTTGAATCTAATGGTCACATCCTTTTACTGTATCTGTCCCTTCATGATATAAAAACTTTTATTATTCCAATTTTTTTTTCTTGCACATCAAAAAAGCCTAATAACTCTTACCCATCTTCATGTTTTCCTTTTTAATACATCCTACAACTTTTAAAGTCTTCAATTAACCATTTCCTAGTACTTTAATCTATCCTCTATTTTAAAGTAACCCATAACTCAATAGTGGTTGCTTGCAACTTTGTTGAAAGTAAATTAGAGTTTAAAAATATATTATGCCAAAATAAATCAAAGCTACCACCAAACAGTTATCTGGTTGTTTATCAACTTAAATGTACATGTGGTGCTTTTTATGTAGGTAAACCAGAGAAAAACGGGACTATAACGAACTAGAAAACATCTGGAATTTATGAACATGCACGACAATGCAAAGGCTAAATTAATTGGAATAATTCTAAAACACTTTCAGTTTTCCCAAATAATTATACTAGAAAAATCTAGGAGGCTGTTGAAATAGACAGATAGCAATGTTGCTACCCAAAACATAAATTTCTAAACCAGGATAATGGCAACCTAGTGATGATTAACCATTGGAAACCGTGTTTTGTTAAATTTTACACAGCAATGGCATCATTATTGTAAACAACAAAGTTTTGTAACATATTTTAGTTTGAAAATGGCTCCAGCTATGAGATGAAATACCACACATTTAAAATTAATAAAATGTTAATGAGTTAAATAAAAAGAATGTCACCGCAAATGATTTATTTTCAATTTTATATATAAATTTTATCATTTTATAAAGATGTCATTAAAATATTTTATATATATATATATATATATATATATATATATATATATATATATATATATATATATATATATATATATATATATAAATACATAATTATATTATATTATATTATATATATATACATAATTATATTATATATATATACATATATATATATATATATATATATATATATATATATATATATATATATATATACACATATATATATATATATATATATATATACACATATATATATACACAGTAGCGTGCAAAAGTAACTGGACAAGAGCATAACTTATGATTACTTTAGAATGACAAATCAGATTTCTTTCAAATTTTCACTGAAATGTCAAAAAATTGATTACAAATTCAGGCTTGGTCAGAAAGGGGGAACAACCACTCTCGATTACTTATCACAGAAATAATATTTAGTTTAGGCCCGGAGCTATAAACCCGGACCCCGCAATATTTGGGACCCCAAAATGTTAAAGGAGACCTTTTTTTAGTCATTTTTACGCTGTGGCACATAAAAAAGGCCTTCATAATAAAAATAGACCCCGCCCCAAAAATTCTAACAAGATTCAAATAAAAATAACGCTAGTTTTAGTTTTATTTAAGCTAAACTATTTTATAAATAAAAAAGTTAATTTTTTTAATTACTATTTTTATGCTTTGCGTAGTTTGAAAAGTTTAACATATTTGAAACAATTCTTCTTAGTAAGATGAACAAATGAAATAACTTTATCATTGAGTTGCTGTAGAAATTAAATTAACTAGATAAAAATCAATTAAAAAGGTTAAAAATATTTTATGAAGAGGAAGTGGAACTGCTTCACGATACCGCTGATGATATTTAGTGAGTAGGTTTTTAATTTTAATTAGTATTTAAAACAGAAAAAAGTAACTTTAAGTTTAAGTATAACGAGTTTGTAAGAATGGCAACTAAAGCAAAATTAATTATAGTTAGTAAACCAATATTTAAGAACTTAAAAACTTTTCTTCTTGGGGGAAAGAATCAGTTATTGGGTACACAGAAGAAAATGGATTAGTTGTTAAAATATGGTGTAAGATTTGTGCTAGGCACAAAACAGCTATATTAAAAGGTACTTTGTTAAAGGAGTTAAAGGAGCATTGAATTATTCGTTTATTGAGGGTACTTGTTTGGTGACAAAACATCAGGTAAAATTAAAATGATATACTTTTTAATTTGTCAGTTCAGGAAATAATTTTAGCACAATTTTAATGTGCAGTGAATTTATTTTATAAGTTATTACATTGCGAAGAGAACCGACTTTATATTGAATTATTTAATTTTAATCGTGAATCTTATAGATAATATTAAAAAATTGATCGCCATCTTAAAAGACAATGTCATAGGTTAGCGGTACAAACTGGAAATGGGTACTCTGAAGATCCTGGAAGTAGTCGAGTCACCAATCTTTCTAAAGAAAACTTGGTACCACATAACAGCCAAAATGGGTTATCAAAGATGTTAAGAACTGCCTATGAAATGGCTTTAAAACCGCCTAGCATGCCACACAGCCATTTCGAGACACTGATAAAATGTTAAAGAATTAATGGTGTACTTCTTCTAGAAGGAAAATGCAACAATAAAGCAGGTTTTTGATTTTTTTTATAGTCTTTACAACTGTTTTTTTTCTAAATGATTTTTAATTTTTTTACAACATTTTATTTAACTTTCTTCTTGTCGGTTTGTTTATTTTTTATTTTTTTGGTGTCTGTGCAAAACAAACACGAGGTCAGCATAATAATAAAAGAAATTGTTTAAAAAAGTAACTAAAACAAACAATGCTAAACAGGAATTAGTTTAGGGATCGCCCATAAATTATGCAACGCAGAACTTATTTAAAAAATATAAGAAGATCATTTTGCTCTTTAACGCGGTGATTTTTGCAGGACTTTAAAGGTTGTTTATATACTTAATTTAGTTAATTCCACTGTGAGGGAAAAATTTTAACCCTATGTCTTTTGTCTATAAGTTTAATTTCGCATTATGCAATTTATGGACAACCCCTTACCGTTAATAAAAGAAATTGTTAAGAAAAGTAGTTAAAACAAATAAAAAACTTTTAGAGCTTTAGTTTAGCGTAAATAAATAGAATCACTTTTGAATAATAAAAAAAATATATATAAAAACTTTTCAAAAACAACATTTTAAAAATTGACTAAAAAGCAAAAAATAAAAAGTATATTAAAAAAACTTTTTTTTTTAATTATTTTGGTGCCCCAAGAAGTCCTTACGGTCTTATCACAGAGCACCGTGGATGAGCATTTAATTTGAAGTTCACGCCTCCTTCCTTGTCGCAAAACTTGTCCAGAGGTGGGATTTGAACCACAGATCCTTTGTTTCTGAGGCAAGTTCACTGCCACTGCGCCACAGCTGCTCAACTTTTTAAAAACAGCATTTTAAAAATGGACTAAAAAATAAAAAAATGGACTAAAAAATAAAAAAAAAAACTATTACACGAGACCCAAGGATTTTTGTGTACATACACAACCTGAAATATCCGTTAAAGTCAATGACTGAAAACGTTGAGCAACTAAGTACAACTCGTTCCTAATGGTGCCCAATACTTTCAGTCATTGACTTTAATGGATATTTCAGGTTGTGTATGTACACAAAGTCCTTGGATCCTGTGAAATAGTTAATTTTTTACTTTTTAATCCATTTTTGAAATGTTGTTTTTAAAAAGTTTTTTTTTACATATTTTTTATTTAAATTTCTTTTTTTTAGCACATGAATATATCTCCTGCATTGCCAGTGCTGTAAAAGAAAAAGTTGCTAAAATCATCAACGATAAAAGTTTTTTTAACTTATCATTTTTCAACGATAAAAGTTTTTTCTGAGAAAGAGAAATTTTTTAGTTACTTTCTGAGAATGAGAAAGAGTTGATTCATGTGCACATTGAACGCGAGGGAACCCCTGCTTATTTTGTAGTATCTTTACTTGATATGAACAATTTGGGTGGTATGGGTGCTAATGTCATTAACAATGCTATTGACAGCATTTTTAATGAATAAGGTAATATTCCTTTAACTAAAACAGCTTACAAATTTAAACTTGTCAGCGCAACAGCTGACAGAGCAAGCGTCAATTTTGGAACTTATAATGAAGTGTTAACACAATTAAAAAATGATAGAATGTGGCTGATTAAAATTCACTGCGTAAACCGTCGTTTAGAATTAGCTATGGTGCTGTAAAAGATATATCGCAGTTTAAAGAATGTGAATGCTTTTATATTTGCATTTTAGTTTATTTTGCAATTCTGGCAAATTAAAAACGCTGTTAAAAAAGCTGCAGAGGGTTTGAATATTACATGCTACACTTTGCCTAAAATACCGGGAACACGCTTTATAAGTCACAGGAGACGTGGCTTTACAAGACTATTACATAACTGGCCTTCGCTTATTGTGGGTTTCAAAAACGCTCTTGCGGATAGCGACACCAAAGCAGATATGCATGCTAAGACTTCTGAGATATCTAAACGGTTGCATGAAAGCAGACTATTATGCATAGTTTGTAGTTATGTGGATATTTTAGAAAAAATCTCTATTATCGTTGGTTTTCAAAAAGAAAATGTTAATGGTGAATGAATTAAAACCAGCAGTGGATGTAACTAAGGCCAGCATAGGCAAATTAAGTAATGAAGGTATCGATGGTATTATTGACTCATATTTACTAAAGTATAGAATCAACGAAAAAGATGGTATAACTAATCTTGTTCCTTCATATTTCAAAGAAGGTCACAAATTGAAATAATCGAATCCAGAGTTTGTTGAGTTTAAGCTTGGTAACATGGCAAATCTTAACTTGGAATGTTCTGCCATAAAATTATGAAAATCAGCAATCAACATCATTCTGCCATTAAAAAATGATAGATTTAGTTTGCTTTTAAATCCCATTTTCGAATCAATCGATTAGTTAGATCCACAATTATGGACAGCAGACAGCATGTATGGTGATGCCAGCATCTCTTTATTTATTTTACTTATATATATTATTATATATTAATAAAGGAATTTTTTTACCTTCTACAGGCTGCACGAAAAGATTTTAAAATGGTTCTTTCAGAATGGAAAGCTGCAAAATTAGTAATAAATACTCAGTACACCATTGAACTTACACCACTGGAAATGTGGCAGAAATTTTTTCTTTATCATAGGATCAGGTCTCAAAACTTTTGTCTTCTAGTTGAACTTATGATGTATATTTTTGGCTTATAATATGTAACTCGAACACATTTTCAGTATTTGACTGTATTTGTCGAGCACATTTTCAGTATTTGACTGTAATACTGACTGATCGGCGTTTAAAGATGAACCACTCAACAATGGAAGACTCTATAATCATAGCAGGGAATGACCAGAACTTCACTTACGAAGAACGAGAAGATATTTTGAGTCGCGCTGTGAATATCTACTTAAGTAAGTGAAAAGTTTATCGCCTTAATTCAGCTAATGCTAGTAATATCACTGATTATAGTAGCAAAGATAGCTGCTACAGTAATGATTTTAGTTCTACATCTGAATTGGGCAGATAAACATTTTATTTTAAAATTTTTTACTTGTAAGTCACACTATGTTTGTGTTTTGTTGTGTATGCTTTTGTTTTGTTCATGTATGTTTGTTTTCTGTTTCGACCTCTGGCACGGTGCTGATACACTCGTAAGTTACTATATGTATGTAAGAAAGTTTGTGTTGTGAAACAATATTGTCTATTGTTGGATATGGCTCCTTAACTTAAAGTTTTGTTGAGCTCTCTCCTTATGGGATGCCTCCTTGCTGTTTGCCCTCTACTCTAAAGTTTGTGCACAAAACAGGTTTCTAGTTTTATTGCTTAGATTTAGTAATATAAAATCATTACATTACTGAAGAGTCCTAGAGGACGAAACAATATTGTCTTAAGTCCTTATTACTCTCGAATCCTTAATACAAGGGGGGATGGCAATACAACCCTCAGAATTAGGGTCGGCATTCAGCAATGCCAACCTAACTGCCGACCTAAAAGTGTTTGAAGTTGGCAAAAAATTACCAACCTTGTTTCTATGTTTGATGTAATTTAGTGAGATTTAGATTTGTAATCGATTTTTTGACATTTCAGTAAAAATTTGAAAGAAATTAGATTCATTCAAGTTATGCTCTTGTCCGGTTATTTTTGCATGCTACGATTATTTATGCTGTATATATATACATATATATATATATATATATATATATATATATATATATATATATATATATATATATATATATATATATATATATATATATATATATATATATATATATATATATATATATAACAAATGATATGATAACAAACTTATGACATTGTATGACATATTTAGAGTAATGCAAATCAATATAACAACCTTTTCTTTAATTAAAAACAAATCAATACTATTATTTCTTACCTTTGAACATGTTTAGAATGATATAGCCTATATCTATACAAAGAAATTGGATCCACTTTGTGGTGTATAGAGCGATGCTAAAAGTTATTCATAAAACTTACTATTACATTTATAGTAGAGTCACTTTTAAAAAATTAACTAAAGTTTGGCTCACTAATTTTTTAATGCCTTTTACATATAATACTAAGAACTGATTCTTTTTACTTTTGCATTTTAAGTCACATTTTGGTTTACTTGGTTACTTGGTTTTAAAAGTTTAAGTTATATATATATATATATATATATATATATATATATATATATATATATATATATATATATATATATATATATATATATATATAGCCCTCAGAATTACGGTTAGCATTCGGCAATGCTGACCTAACTGCCGACCTGACAGTGTTTTAGGTTGGCATTTTTTTTGCTGACCTTAGAATTTTGAAACTTCATTTATTTGCTATTTCAAATAAACTAAAAACGATAAAACAAACATTTTATTTAAATTCGAAATAAAATAACTGAAATAAAATTGGCAATACAATTGTTTGATTAAAAATAAAATAATCAAATTAAAAATGGATCAAAGAACCTTTTATAATTATTCTTAATAAACTAATGAAAATAAAAAAAAGCAAAACAAACATTTTATTTAAATTCCAAATAAAATAAAATAATTAAAACAAACAAAATAAAACAAAATAATTAAAACAAATAAAATAATAAAAATAAAAATGACAAAACAAACATTTTAACAATCTTCTAAATTAAATATTACAAACTAGCTGACTGGACCGTTAAAAATATGGGTCTTTGTAAGTCTAATCCACATCGAACTTTTCAAAACTTTTTTTTTAATATACCAGGTATGGACAGGAGTGGCGTGGAATGGAACTTTGTTTAAACATTTTAAAAATGTGCTTAAAAAAAAAATATATATATATATATTTATATATATATATAATATATATATATATATATATATATATATATATATATATATATATATATATATATATATATATATATATATATATATATATATATATTTTTGGGCATACCGATCTAAAAATCCTGTCTACCTTAAAAGGACCTTTTTTAACACAAATTTAAATATATTTATTCATATATAAAATAATTCTCCCTAGTATTTTATGTTTTTCCTAATAAAATTGTAAACAATTAACCAAAATAATGTTACATTTATTACTTAATGATGGCTTTAACGCCAACATCGATTCGTTGCTTGTTATCATTTACTTGCTTACTAATATAAAGAGTATTATGTCATAAACAAACGATAACTATAACATTTAATAAACAATATTTGTAAGTTTCTTTTATACAGATTTAAAAAGATTTATTACATTTAATATTTATTATTTATTGCGTAACAACGTCAATTCATTTAAAATTTTAATTATTTCAAAAATTAATAACTTTTTTTTCTTGTTTTACTCTTACTTTTTAAATCAAGTTTTTTGGATTATTATAATGTTATTATGTTTTAAAAAATTTTATTTGTTTAACTATTTAAAATATTATTAACGCAACCTCACCATCACCTGAAATGAAAATGTTCAAAGCTCATATAGTTTAATCGATTTGAAAATTACATTATGTAAACGTAAGCGGAGGAGAAACTCAAATTAGAGTATTTTAAAAATGTTAACGTTTCATATTTTAATTTAATCAAAATGTGCATTTTACATTATAATCCAATTGTAACATATTCCATATTTCATCAACGCGAATACGATTAAAGCATTCTGATTGACTTAAAAGACATTTATAAAGTTTTTAAAAAGTCGTTTTTCAAATGTTGGTTTTTCTAAGCAACATCAATGACATAACAAATTTTATTATCATAATTATCATAACAAATTCAAATTCACAAAACAGCAAGACAATAGGTAATTAAAAATTAGTTTATTTTATTTTTTTAGGTGCTAATATGTAATTGTTTTAAAGTTTAAAGTTTGAGTTTGGTGCTAATATGTAATTGTTTTAAAGTTTGAGTTTGGGCTGAAATTTGGGGGCCCATACTGGTATACCGGTATCAAAATCGGCCTGGATGTCACTGATATATCAAGGCAATGATCACATTCACATAAAAATACAAGATTTAATAACCTAAGAATAATGCAGGTGAACTTTAGTACTTAATTGCATCAATTTCTTGCAATAATAAAAAAAATGCTTGCTTTCAAGAGTGTTATAAAACAAATCAAAGAAAAGATTACAACTAAAAATAACACTTTCACAAGTAGTGATGGGATATAATTGAAACCAACACAAAAACATCTTTGACTGCCTGAATCAAGGAGATCTATGTAAATCTGTAGAAGGAATGGAAGAATATAGAAGGAACGGAAGATAAAACATTTAGGAAGATTAAAGAGAAACTAGGGTCAGAGACACAAATTAAGGAGCAAAGATAAGGTAATTGGGCCCATTTGGAAAATAAGACACAAAGTAAATTATTTGGGTAAGGGAATGAGAAAGAGAAAAGCTACGAGCTTTACTACAAGCAAGATAAGTGGTAATAGAGACCATTAAGCGTGATTAGCATCATCACACTAAATGGTTTGTCTCTAGTAATCACCAATAACAAGAACATTATTATTAGCAATAATAGGAGAATTTACACATACCAATAAGTATATACCCAGGCCAAGCAGGTTCTACTGAAGTCAACAAATCGAATGATAATAATCAACATATATAACTACCATAAACAATAAACAACATTTAAAACAGACAAATTGAATAAATATTAAACACACAAATTAAATAAATAATTCTCACAAAGAACAAGTAGATTCAACATCTAAGGCAGGAGACAATGTAACGTTTTACGTGTACACTAGCTTATTAGATGAAGTAGGGAACAGAAATTTTCTGATTACCTTTAAGTACTTGCCTAGAATGCAGTTTACATCTGCACATGATGGGTATTTTTAATGAGACAATATCTTTAGACCTATATTAAACCAAGAGCCGAAAGACTTAAAAGTCTGAGTTAAATTTTTAACTCTTACTAACTTACGTGATTAAACTTTAAATGTAAAATCAAAATAAATTAGTTATCAGTATCACATGGTCAATGAAAATATTAGAAAAATGTTCCAATGTGACTTCATAAATTTTTGAACACTTAAAACCATTAAATAACATAAGAAAACATTTTTAAATATTCTAAACTATAAATTAAAATTTTGTTATATAAAAATTTAAACTTATTCAAATCTATTAAATTATAATTCACAGAAATTTATAAAACTTTATATTATTGTAAAAAAAAAAGAAAATTGAACCTCAAGTGCATCTTCTACGAACACTATTGCTTGTAAATGAGCTCGAGAAAAACGAGTTTCTTAAAATAAAAAATAAATATTTTTTATCAGTATATTAGTTGAACAAAAAAGCTGAATATTGGTATAAAATGATTGTAAAAGTCTATTGTATTACTATTAAATTAACATAAAGGTCAAATCATTTTAAACAACTTTTTTTAAATTTTTCTCATAAGGTAATTTTTAAGTTTAAAAACTAACTATTTACAAGCCTTCCCGAGAAGCGCGTGCTGTCACCTGCCTTGTTCATCCATGTTTAAAGTAATTTTTTTAGACAAACTGACCATGGCAGCTCGCATCTTTTGACAGATAAAGCATTTCATTAATTTGCAGCAAAAAGCTAAACTTATTTACTAAGAAAAAGAACAATCCTAAATCAAGGGAACAAAATTCTAATGAAATATTGATTTTGATTAAACAAACTAATTAATAATTAAAAAAAGTAAATAAAAAAATATATATTTATAAAGTTTTTATACAACTTTTGTATTCTCTTTTTTTAAGTTTTTGTTGAAAAAAGCATTATCTTTTATAAAAATTTAACAACAATTGAAAGTTTTGATATGCAAATTCACAAATTTTATCAGTCCATATATTTAAGAAACTAATTTCCTATGTCCGCTAGAACTATGAGAAATTCTATTAATTTTTTTTCTTACGTTTATTCGTTTTGTATTTCATACTGCTTTTAAACATGTTTTTGCTATATAAAACGTTTTTTTTCTCAATACTTATATAATAGAAAAATAAGAAAACAAATTGTTTTTTTTTTTGTAAAATATATTATTTGATTAATAAATTTTGTAATGACGGAATAAGTTAAATAAAAGAATAACATGGTTTATTTAATAAATGTATTTACCCCATTTGAGGCATGTTTGAAATTGTTTTTTTTTTACATTGCTAAATTTCCAATGTAAATATGAAATACCGTCAACCAGGGTAACTTTGGTCAATTGTTGACTTTACTTTTTTACTTTTGTAAATTCCTAAGATTTAACAAATATAACATATGTTATAAATCTTTGCCAGGTCAGGTTTATCCTGCTATTGGTAACATGTAACCCAGTACAATCTGCTTTATGTCCTGCTACCTTGTAGGATACGCCTTTTTAGGCAAAGACTAAGAGATGCCAACTCCGACATAAAACACCACCTGCCTTGGGGCTCTTGGTTGAGTAAAAGCTAGAGATATTGTCTCGATAAAAATACTCATCTTGGGCAGATGTTAAATGCATCCGGCTGCTGCTTTATAGAAGGCCTCCAAAGGAAAGACTAAAGGGTAAACAGATTCTATCTGTTGACCAGCCTTGCACCCCTTTTTCATCTATTAGGCTGTCGCAGATGTATTTTTAATATATTGTTTCCAGTTTAGGATGTTGAATGCTGGATCTTCTTGACTTGATGCATGCCTTTTGCCTGTGTCTCTGTATTTATAACTAGGCAACTCATTATATTATCTCCTAATGAGGGTACAGCTCTAAAACTCAGTTTTATGGTTCTGAGGCTGGCTGGTAGTCAGGTTTCCTAAACTCTGTGGCAGCTCTCAGAGAGGCTGAATCCATCTACAGCTGAAAGTTAAAAATATCAAAATTAACAATGCCATGTTGCAGGATAGATGGTGTCCCAGTTTGTACTTTTGGTGTGCATTGGCAAGGCCAAATTGGAGCCCTTGTTACGGCTTAGAGTTTATTAATAGTAATTAGGCAATGGCTTGGGCTATTAAACATTGTACTGAGTACTATCTATGTTTCGAGTCAAATTCTTTAACAAATTTGAAAACGAATAAAGTAATAAAAACTATAAAATACAAAAAACCATCGCCATCATCAAGTTCGCTAAACCAGGCTTGGTCGGGAAGCGGGAGCGATCGCTCTCGATTGCTGACCACGTAAATAATATTTAGTTGCGAAAAGCTGGCCAGATTTTTAGTCGTTTTGAGAACATTTTAAAAAGCAAAAAAAAAAAGCGGCGAAGATTAATTGGACCGATGAGAGACAATTACAAAAAAAATAAAATTAAGCGATGTTTTTTATATAAAGTAACAACTTACGATTGTTTAAAAAGGAAATAAATATTCTTTATTAACAAAGTTTGCAAGTTTTAGTTTTATTTAAGCTAAACTATTTTATAAATAAAAAAGTTAATTTTTTTAATACCTATTTTATGTTTCACGTAGTTTGAAAAGTTTTACATATTTGATGCGATTCTTCTTAGTAAGATAAACAAATGAAATAATTAAATCATTGACTTACTATAGGAATTAAATAATCAAGATAGAAATCAACTAAAAAGGTTAAAAATACTTAATGACCAGGAAGCGAAACTGCTTCACAATATCGCTGATGATGTTTAGTGAGTGGGCATTTTAATTTTAATTAGTATTTAAAGCAGAAAAAAGTATAACGAGTTTTAAGAATGGCAACTTAAGCGAAAATAATTAGAGTAAGTAAAACAATATCTAGAAACTTTTCTTTATATCTAATTATTTGCTATATATATTTGTGTTCTGTCGTGACCTCAGGCGCGATGCTTGTTCATCCGCAAGTTACTTTGTATGCGTTGTTTGTGTTTAGTAACCAGAAACTACTTATATGTTTGTTACATAAAGTTAATAACTTTAACGATTATAACTTCATTGAAAACGCAATTATTTTTGTAAGTCTTTGTTTAAATCATAAAAATTGCTTTAAAAGATACATTACGATAAAAAACAAATACACAAAATTACATTTACATAAAGAATACAATCTCTTTTAAAATAAAAAATAAGAATATACTAATAAAATCTATGATTTATAATAAACTTTTAAAACTTTAACAATTTAATCAATATATATTTAAAACATTTATTTTCGTAAACAAATAATATATATTCTTAAAACAATGCTAGAAATCTCAAAACGGAACAAATCGTGTATAATACGATTTCTAAAACTCTAGAACTTTATTTCGCTTAATCAGCGTATTTTTTGAACCAATAGAATTAGTTTGTTCGTTAATTTGGCGGGTTTTTAGTGTTCGCAAATATTCTTTGTATTCTTTCGCACAAAGATGTTTTGAGAACATTAAAGTTTTTTATGTTTCCATGTATGTCCGTAAAACAAAATTTTTTTGTTTCGTACATAAACTTAAACGTTCTCAAAACGACTAAAAAACCTGGCCAGTTTTACGCAACTAAATATAATTTCCGTGGTCAGTATTCGAGAGCGATCGCTCCCGCTTCCCTACCAAGCCTGCTAAACCTATCATTTACTAATATTCGTGGTCTTCAAAGTGACTTTTCTTCTGTTGAGTCTTATTTCTTGCAAAGTTCAACAGACCTACTTTCTCTTTGTGAGACTAATTTGAGTTCAGCTGTCTTATCTTGTTATCTTAGTGTTGATGGTTATCTTCCTTTAATTCGTCAAGACTCCAATAGTCACATGCTTAGTCTGGGCATTTACATTCATAAGAAATCACCCATTTGTCGGGAAACTAGGTTTGAATCCACAGACTATTCTTTTATGTGCTTTCGTTTAGCACCATCTCACACTATCATCTCTCTCTTTGTTTTATATCGCTTTCCTTTATCTCAAGACTGCACTTTTCTTGATGTTGATTCTGATCATATTAACCAAGCCCTTTTTCTTTATCCATCAGCCAATATTGTTGTTATTGGTGACTTTAATGTTCATCACACAGAATGGCTTGGCTCTAGTGTCAGTGACTCTGCAGACATTAAAGCCCACAACTTTTGCTTTTATCGATCTCTTCTCTTTCAGAATCCCCCTATCATCGTACATCTTACAACTACCTTAAAGCTGGCTGGAACTCTTTCCGTGATTTTCTTCGTGATGGCCCTTGGGTAGAAATCTTTGTCTTCCTGTTGACAAATGTGCTTTTTACATAACTTCGTAATTTCAGGCTGGCATAGAATCCTTTATTCCTTCTCAACAATTCCAGGTCAAGCCTCACTCTTCTCTATGGTTTTCCTCACATTGTGCTACTGCAATTGCCAATCAAAACCATTATTTCCATATCTATCAGCAAAACAATTCAGGACTCGAATTAAGCGTATCGCGATCGCGATTGCTTTTTACACTTTTGCGATTGCTTTTTACACTTTCGCGATTAGTTTTTTCTTAAAACATATATTTTCGCGATTGGTTTACTTTTTTAGATGTTTATTTACTATTTTTCTAATTTAGCTTTTTTTTTTGGCAATTCTTAAAAGTAATGTTTTCATAGTAAAGTACGTCACGCAAAGTTTTTCTTTTGAATAGAAGCATGATCATTTGCTTTTGAATAGAAGCATGATCATTTGCTCTTTTGCGCGGAGATTTTTATTCAACGTAAAGCACTTTTTAATTTAAACTACTTTAAACCTCTGTGTAGAAGCAAATTAAAAAGACAAAAGTTGAAAATAATTTTTTCTTCATTCTATTTTTTTAACAAAACAGCATTTTCATCTTTTTTCAAAAGAAATGTTGCTCCAAATTAACTTAATAATAAGGATTTAAAATATTATTTTATAAACAATTTTATATAATTATTTTTACTACTTTAAGTATAATAAAATATATATTAGTTCATTTTTATTAAATAAAATTTCTATTAGTAAAATTGTACTAATAGAAACCAGCAACTATTTTGCTTTCACGTTTTTCGCTTTAACGACTTTGAAACTATTGAAGTTATATTTAGTTAACTTTACTGAATGGATAGAGTATATCACAGTAAATTAACTTATAACCTAAATCAAAACAACCAGTTAAGTTAAGATAATAACTTACAGTTGCTCAAGTATTAATTTAACAATTATATTAATTAACTTAATATAATCGCAAAAGTTAGCCATAGACATGTTTCAATTTAGATCTTACATGTTGTTAACACATAATATAAGCTTATAACTAATAATTATTTTAACAAAAATTGTCAAATAGAATATGAAAAACACGACACCATTTTTTTATATTTTCATTTTATTTATAGCGACATCTAGACATTTTCTATAAATACGCAATTGTTTTCAGGA